CCGGGTTGGGGCCGCGCGCCAGACTCCTCCAGCCTGCCCTCGGCATGCGGGATCCTTCCCACGAGGCGCGCCGTCCCCGCCGCCGCACGCCCGACCCTGCGGCCGGGGCACGGACGCGGCGACGCCGGGAACGCCGGGCTGGGAGGCCGCGTCGGCACAAACGAACCCCGTGAGACGGGCGGGCTCGGGGTGCGGGGTGTTCTGGACACGGAGGCGCGAAGGAGCGGCTCGGGGAGAAAGGGTTTGTGAAGGAGGGTCACGGAGGGCCCTCCGAGGCCCTGCCGCCGCTCCTGGGACTCTAATCGCCCAAGGAGAAGGAGCCTCTGCTTCGCTCGCTGCTGTGTTCCTCGGGCCTGATACGTGTCTGGGATACACGAGACTCCGGCGGTGTTTGTTGGCTGGATGTTTGGGTTCAGTCTCGAAGTTTCACCAGGCAGTGGAAATGGCACGTATAAAGGACTTGTGCCTTGAAACAGTTCGGCATGTTCAAACCTGAGAAGTGGGCGTGCGGGATGGTGGGGGGAGGAGCCAGTGGCAGTAAACACTATTTGAGCGGATTAGGGATTAGTGTGTTTTGTGTGTTTACCGCCTCGCAGCACACAGATCAGCATTTGGTACCTTCCCGGGGTTGTGTGTCGGTCACTTCTATCTCATACCCGGTTTGATCACAATGAAAGGAGACCCCGGAGCCGTTACGCAGTCACTCTCCATTCCCCGGTCCTCCCAGCAGCTGTCCCCGAAGATTTGTCTGTTCTGGGTATTTCATATGAAAAGATTCGCATCACACGTGGCTTTTTTGTGTCAGGCTTATTTCACTTAGCATTTTTGAAACCCATTCATGCTGTGGTGTGTATCATTACTTCATTCTTTTTCAGGGCCGAATAATACCCCGTCGGATAGAGAGCATATGTGTTTATCCGTTCTTCACTTGGGTTGGCCCCGCCTTTTGGCTGTTGTGAGTAGAGCTGCCGTAAACCTTCGTGTACAGGCTTTTCTTCGGATAAGTGTTTTCACTTCTTTTGAATAAGCTCCTCGGAGGGAAGTTGCTGGGCCACAAGTAACTCTATGTTTAACCTTCTGAGGAACTGCCAAACTGCTTTCCAAAAGTGGCCGAAACATCTTGCATTCTAACCAGTTCCTTTTTCTCCACATTCTGTCAACACTTGTTTTTTTTTTTTTAATCATCTCCAGCCTAGTGGGTTTGAAGTATCTTGTGGTTTTGACTCTGAGCACCTTTTCATGTGCGTTCTGGCCACTATGTCTCCATCTTCTTTGCAGAAACGTCCATGTCTTCTGGCCATTTTTGAATTGGATTGTTGGTCTGCTGAGCTGTAAGCGTGCTTTGTGTATTCGGGATATGAGGTCCTTGCTAGATACGTGATTTGCAGGTACTCTGTTTCATGCTGTGGGTTGTCTGTTTGCTTTCTTGGTAGTGTTCTTTCACGCACAAGAAGTTTTAATTTTGATGAAGTACAGTTTATCTATTTTTCCTTCTTTTGTTGGTTAGACTTTTACTGTCATGTCTAAGAAGCCATGGCCAGAATGAAGATCAGGAAGATTTGCCCCTTCTTCTAAGAGTTTTAGCTCTTATATTTTAGTCATTGATCCATTCTGAGTTAGTTTTTCTCGGTAGTGTGAAAAGTCCAACTTCATTCTTTTACACGTGGATGTCCAGTTTTTCCCAGCACCGTTTTTTGAAAAGGCCGTCCGTTTCCCGTCGGATGGCCTCGGCATCCTTGTCAAAAATCAGTCGACTATAGATGTTCCTTTCTGGACTGCCAGTTCCGTCCCGTTCTTCTGTGTGTCTGTCCTCACGCCAGTGCCACGCTGTTGGCTTTGCTGTGGCTTGGCGGTAAGTTTGGAGGCCAGGTGGTGTGAGTCCTCCAACTTTGTCTGTCTCTTTGAAGGCTTTTTTGACTGCTTGGGGCCCTTGGCAGTTCCGTATGAATTTACCATCGCGATACCAAGTCCTCCAGTCTGAACACAGCCTGTCTTGCCGCCGATTTAGGTCTCTCAGCAACGAGCTGTAGTTTCCATTGTGCTTTTGGATGCTGTTGTAAACGGAACTGTTTGCTTAGTTGCCTTTTCAGATTGTTCACTGCTGTCGGTTTCTGTCTTTCTGTGTTATTTTCTTCATTGCTGTTGGATTTTGCATGCCGACCTCGTATCCTGCAACTTTGCTGGCTTTATTGGCGTGAAGTTTCACTGTGGCTTCTTGAGGATTTCTACCTGTAAAGTCATGCTGACTGCAAGGGGAGAGAGTTCTGCTTCTCCCTTTCCGATCTGAATGTCTTTATTTCTTTTTCTTGCCCAGTTGCTCTGGCTGGAAGTAGTGATCCCAGGTAACGACGGTGGAAACGGGCATCCTTGTTTTGTTCCTGAACTTGGAAGAGGAGCTTCCGCCTTTGACCACTGAGTGTGATGTTCACTGTGGGTTTTTTGCAAATGCCACACTTCACTTTGTCGTGAAGGGTGCTGCATTTTTACCAAATGCTTTTTCTGCATCAGTTGAGAAGGACTGTAGGTACTAAGTACGGGGTGGAGGGGCAGGGATGGTCATATTTGTGCTTTATGAAGTCTCCCTGGCAGTGGGGCACTTGGAGAATGGAAGGCTTCTGCACATGGGGGTCAGAGGCCTGAAGTCTAGGGACCTGGGGGCACTTTGCAGGGGGGCAGAGGGAAAGGAGAGGCAGAGTGATGGAAGCAGTCGGCGTGGAAGGTGGAGGTTCACTGTGCGCTCACACATTCTGGTCCTTCTTCCTGGAATGACATTTTGCCTCATCTCTCCTGATGAGCTCTCTTGTCTTTTGAAAGAAAACAGGGGGAGCAACTTAAATGTAACCTATTTGTGACATCTTTCCTCAGCGTCCTCTGCGACCATTTCCTTCACTCGGTGATGGCGGTCATGGTCGTCACGGGTCCCGGGATCTAGTTGCCTGTCCCCCTCCCGCAGCCTGTCACTCCCCGAGACAGTGACAGGGCCTGTTCATTTGTTTATCTGTCCCTCACAGAGTTTGCTTTGAATGACAAAATCCCTACCTTCAAGAGACTGGAATTCTGATAGAGGAGCCAAGACATCCACACACACAGCTCGGAATCAGAGGATGGCCCTGAGCTTTGTAATAGCAAAAACCTGAAATAACAAACACTAGTGACGGCCGTGGATCCTAAAATAAATTGTGCTTTCTTTGGTAGATAGTCTGTTGTGGAGAAGACTTTCAAACACATACACAAATATATGTACATTTGAGAGAAATTGACCAGAACACTAACAAGAGGTGGAATTTTTCTCTTTTTTCTTTAACTGTAGTACTTAAACAGTGGTAATTATTGCAGAAAATTCAGAGGACGCAGATACGCATCAAGTGTACCGTCCCCACTGTCCTCAGTAGCCCCTGTTAATAACTTACAGATCTCGAGGACTTTTCTATGTGTGCACCATTTTTTCATGGTTTTATTTTTATGTTTAGAAGAAGGAATCCTAAGACAGAGTCTTGTGGCAGACTGAGTGGCAGCAGTGCGATCTGTCCCCACAGTGCTGAGTAAAGGCGGACCCGCTCTGGTTTGGGTTTTCGTTTTAATAGTGGGGATGGATGGCCCTGTAGGAAGAAAACAGATGCCACATTCTTGGTCAGTCTTCTGGGTCTTTTTCTTTCTCTAGGCTCCAAGACTTCCGTAATTAGGGGGCCACCCTTCCCGTGAGCACCTCACCCCGGAGGTGGAATCGCACATGGTTGAGTACCCACTTCAGTTGGGAGTTACAGAGAGGCAGGTTTGAGGTGCCAGGAAAGACATCTTACTTCCTCAAGACTCTCCGCTGGCAGAGGAGGCTGCCTGGGAGAGCCTGGACCTGGGCCGCACGCGTGCTGTTGGACAGGTCTTCCCCTGGAGAGGATTAGAGCAGGTTCCAGACTCTTCCCGGGAGAGCCACTTGGGGTGAGCGGGGAGAGGCTGAGTTAGCAGCAGCTCGGCCTTGTCACAGCCAGAGGGCTTCAGCCCTGCTGTGTTCCAGAGGCCGTGTGAGAGTCTGGGAAGGCTTCGGTGCTCTCTTAAAAAGAGGTGGTAGCCATTGGCTGGACAGTTGCTCTTCTCTAGTATGAAAGGGGCTTGACCAGCAACTGGAGTTTGTAGAGGGGGGTTTCTTTCCTTGGCAACACTAGAGCGGTGCCCTTGTAGGGATCAGATCCTGAAATAAATTCCTTTTAAGTTTGCTGTTACCCCTCAAAGAGAGCCCTGCTCAGTGGTCTACACTGAAAACTTGTCTCTGTGAGGCGGGGGGAGAGTCTTCTCCACGTGACACGTCTTGGTCCTGGAAGGTTTCCCCAACTCCCGCCTGGCCTGCGTCTTGTCTCCTGTGCAGAGTGGGTGTGAAACTCACATGCTTAGCTACTTTTAACGCCTTTGTAGAAGGTGGGGTCTCCCCTGAGGGGGTCTGGTTCTCCCGCAAGTGCAGGTAAGGACGTGCTTTGTAGCCTGGCTCCCAGGCCCGACTGGGGCTTGCAGCGTGACTGGATTTCAGAGCCAGAGGGACCTTACAGGCAGCTTTACTCAAGGATCAGGTGAGGTTCAGGAAGGTGAGCGCCCTGCCTCTGGTCAGCTTGATAGTGCAGCTGGTGTGCGGCCAGAAAGCAGAGTTGTGGGGAGAAAGGAGAAGGTCTCGAGAGGGTGTCCCAGTCCCCCGTCTGCCGTGTGGCCTCGGGCGAGTCTGTTCTCATCTGTAGAAAGCTGTTACGTAGTTTTAGCTGAACGCAAGGTCACCTTCCAGCATAAAACTCTGTGGGCTCTACCAAGTGCATGCTGCTAAGCGTGTTCTAAGGGACCTCTTAATAAGCGGTCTTGGTGATTTTGCCCAGTTTTTATCCGTGGGAAATGCTGTTGCATTTTCAGCATCCCCACTTGTCTGGGTTGTGCTGGATCTCTGTGCTGAGGAATCTTTTGTTTCTTTATGTAATTGTTATCTTTTCTTTCTTTTTGTCTTGTGTAGAGGGAAGGACTTTCTAGATTCAACAAGATCTATGAGTTTGATTATCACCTGTATGGCCAGGTAGGTGCTGCGGCGTTCCTGTCGTGTGGCTCACGTGTGCTTTCAGACCCTTGTGCCATTTTGCTGTTTTTAGTTACGGCTAAAAAGAGCAGCTGTTTACTACAAACCCTCCCTAAACTGCTTGTGTTTTGGAGTTTTTTGGTCAAGAAGAATTAGTCAGCCTGGCCACTGCCGAGTAGGTTGCTGTCTTTTAAGAGGACCTTTTGTTAGGACCTCCAGATCCTTGGTGGCAGGTGATCATTTCATGATTTATAAGGAAGTCTCTTTTTTGCAGAATATGGTCCCAAACTCAGCTCTTCAGTGCAAGAAAGCAGCTAACGACAGTAGTTTGAGGATATTCTAAGTGCTGCAGAGGCGTCTTGGTACCAGAATGAGAATGGGGATTGAGCCACTGTGCCTTTTGGCTTTAAGAGCTGTATCTGTTTTTTCCCCCAGTCAACTGTTTTTGTTTTTAATAGGCTTCATTGTTTTAGAGCAATGTTAGGTTCAGAACAAAATTGAGAGGAAGGTACAGACATCTCCCCCACCTCCGCCCCTGCACGGGCACAGCCACGTCGTCAGCAGCCCCCTAGGGCTGCTCGTTGCAGCTGGCCAAACTGCGCCCACGCACGTCACCCAGAGTCCACAGTTGGCGTCGGGTTCCCTCCCGCGGTGTGCATTCTGTGGGTCTGGGTGAACATAAATGACACGGACCTGTTGTCTTCATGTCACGTGGACTGTTTCCACTGCCCTGACAGTCTTACACTCAGCCTGTTTATCCTTCCTCCCCTCCACCCTTCAGTAGAAGTTACTCCCTTTTATTTGAATGATTTGGCAAAATCTAATCGCTGAGAGACTAACTTGAGTTTTGTTGTCATTCAGAACGTTACCATGGTAATGACTTCCGTTTCTGGACATCTGCTGGCCCACGATTTCCAGATGCAGTTTCGTAAATGGTCAGTAGGGTCCCTGGGGAAGAGCTTTCTGATTATTATGGTGAGCTGTAAAGTATCACAGGAGTTTCGAGGCGTGTTGGTGTCACTGTGTGGCTTATAATAGTAAGGTGACTAAGTCTATTCGGCTGCTGTGACAAAACATCACACGCCAGCTGGCTTTTAAACCACAGAAATTTGTTTCTCTGAGCTATAGAGACTAGAAGTAGGAGTCAGGGTGCCAGCGTGGTCTGGGGAGGGCCTGCTGACCTCTCAGCGTGTCCTCACCTGGGGGAGGGTCTGGGGAGCCGGCTGGGTCTCTTGTAGGAGGCTCCACCCTCACCAGCTAATCCCCTCCCACAGGCCCTGCCTCCAGCACCATCACGCTGGTGTTAAGATTCCAGCGTGTGAATTTGGGGGCACACAAGTCATAGAGACCATAGCAGTGACCTAGGTTTGACTGATACATTGTGCATTTTTACCATGTGTTTAGAATAAACAGCCACTTTTTTCAGGTGTGTTCCCCAAAATAGGCAGGCCTTTCTCATACTGCCATCAGACTGTTTGCCCCGCTGCAGATGTGCGGGAAGAGTCCCAGGATTTCCAGTTTGCAGCCCCTGTCGGTCATCCTGGGAAGCGCATTGTGCAAGGGTCCCGGCCTTGTCTGTAATCCTCTGTGTTTTCACGGGGGTGGGGGCTATCTGTTCGGGACGTAACCGTGAGGGCAGTTTCTTCCCCTTAAAACAGGACTTTCTGTCACGTGCTTGGGTAGGAGATTTTGCGTTTTTGCTTCTTTTCCAGGCAGAGCTGCAATCCTCTTGTCCTCTTTGAAGCAGGAATTGAGAAGTACTGTCCGGAGAACTTTGTAGACATCAAGGTAGGATGGTTTGGAAGACGTAGGCACTGGAGTTAAACCACCACCGAATAATTAAACCAAGTGCTTTCTGTATTTTGAATGCATGAGAATTTAGAGATAAGGGTTTCCACCGGACTAAGTACTATGGTTTAAAATATTAGTCCCACCCGTGTTGTAAATGAAGCCATTTAAGCTTAGTGGCCGAGAGGCTTCTCAGGGCGAGTGGCTGTTTGAACCCTCGGCGTGAGTGTGTTAGCTCCCTGGTTCCAGCTCCCCCAGCCCCGGTGGGAGGGAAGAGTGCGGGTGGGCGTCCGACAGGGGATTGTGAACGCTGCAGCTCTCTGGGCACCAACCCTTACTTCACGGCTAATTAGGAGCCCTTGGGATGAAATGCAGTTAGGGTTTTTTTTGTTTTCTTTTAAGCCAGGGCTTGATGAGAACCCCCAGAGCTATAAGTGTGTGTTAGAGCTGTGTTTCAGGTCCATCAGGCTGGGCTAGTTGTGTTAAACCCCCAGGCTTCCGGAAGCTAATTGGTGGGGCTGTGGTTCCAGGCTAGGGGCGGGTCTAGTGACTTCGCACCCTTACCATGGTGGGGATAGTTTTCTTGGCCTCTTCTTCACCGAGTTGGCTTCCTCCAAGAGCCTCCAGTGCTGGGTCAGAACCCGCACAGGGCTGTCCCGGGACCGCTCACTGCTCTTTCCCCACCGGCAACTGCAGAAAACTCTAGAGCGAGAGACCCGGCAGTGCCAGGCCCTAGTGATCTGGACCGACTGTGACCGAGAAGGAGAAAACATCGGCTTTGAGATTATCCACGTGTGCAGGGCCGGTGAGTGTCTGTGCCAGGTTACCCACGTGTGCGAGGCCGGTGAGCATCTGTCCAGATTACTCACGTGTGCGGGGCCGGTGAGCGTCTGTCCAGATTACTCACGTGTGCGGGGCCGGTGAGCGTCTGTGCCAGATTACCCACGTGTGCGGGGCCGGTGAGCGTCTGTGCCAGATTACCCAGTGTG